GCAGGAATTCACCCTTGGTTCAGGTGATTCAAAATGTCTTTGACCAGAAAAGCAGCACATGCCAAATCTCTTCACTTATTGCCCCAATCTGCTCTTCCAATACACTCTCTGTCTCCTCACAGGACTTAGCCCTTGGTTGGGGTTGGGGAAATAGTCTCTGAATAGTTTTCTTTTCCTGGTCTTCTCCATGAACAACAGCCACCCCCATAGCCCAGACACCCCCACAGACCAGGTTTTACCCCGTTGGCATCTGACCTCTCCACTGTCTGTACCTCTTTGACTTTCTGTTGGTTAGTGCCTTGTTCCTCCTGTTCTGCAGGAAGTCAAATAATTACTTTTTCATGATGCCTGCAAGGCTCTTCATCCTCCTCTTTGGTCTCCATCTTACCACAGTCTGCTCTTTGCTGCTGCTCTGGCCCTCCAAACCAGTTTCTAGAAGTGCAAAGCCCTCAGATCCTTGTGGCTGAAGAACATGAACTCTAAACGGCTTACTGGAAGTGGGACAACAAGAGTATTCCAGTCATGGGATCACCAGGGATTGACACTGCTGCATATATTTTCCACAAATATTAGCTACTGGCTTTACTTGGCAGCAGGACTCTGGGCTGAATGAGCCTGTGGTTGGTTTCTTTCTGTGCCAGGGAACAGGAACAAAACAATTTTCCTACACAGTTCAGACTTTGCCTACCCTTCAGGGGGCCTCATGGCTCATAGCACAAGGAGCTGGCAGGTAGATTTTCCTAATAACCCTGCAAATAGTAATCACTGCACTTCATTCTGGGAATTACAAGCATATAAGTTCCGAGAATCCGGGTGTGATGTCCTCTTGTGGCCTCTGCAGCTGATTCCCATTCCCAGCTGACATCTGCTAAAAAGACCTGCCATTTCTAGAGCTGCACAGTGCCTTGATGAAAGGCTTTTCCTCCTGTTAAGCCTAAACTCCCTTTGACCTGTAGCACTTGTGTCCTTGAGACTCCCTGCTCCCTACCAGGGACTACCACAGTCCCAGTCCAGCACAGGCAAGGAGGGACAAGCCCTTTCTGCAGTGAAAGGGAGTGACAGGCAAGTGCTGTCTGGAAACCCATAGGCAGAGGGATGCTGAAAGACTTCCCACCCCAGAGTGGCCCCAGCTGTCTGTTCAAACACCAGCTATCCTTCCCCAGGAGCTGTAACCAGAGCCAAGCAGGGGATGGAGAGATGCCTATGCAGAAACAAGGCTCCCTGGCATGCCCTGCACTCCACTGGGAAGGTGCTGCTGGCATCCATCTTCAGCCCACTGAGCATATAAATTCCCCTTTTGCCTGGGAAATAAATTCTGTTGCTCCCTGTCACTCCTGGCATATTCCCCGCACCCACAGCATCTGCAGCTTGCCAGGCTGCCATGATGGGCCAGTTTGAAGGGTGATAGTGGGATGGGGTGGCTGAGCCAAGGGCTCCATCAGTGGGAGTTGCCACACTGCAGGGAGCTTGATGCTCCTGGCATATCATCAAACTTGTAGAATCATAGAGTCATTGAATCATATGGGTTGGAAGGGACCTCTGAAGATCATCAAGTCCAGCCCTCCTGCTGTAGCAGGATCACCCAGAGCACATCACACAGGAACGTGTCCAGATGGGTCTTGGAAGTCTCCAGAGAAGGAGAGACCAAACCCTCTCTGGGCAGCCTGTCCCAGGGCTCTGTCACCCTCACAGCCAAGAAGTTTCTCCTCATGTTGAGGTGGAACTTCCTGTGTTGTCACCTGGTGCCGTTTCCCCTTGTCCTATCACCACTGAACAGAGACTGGCCCATTCTTGACACCCACCCTTTACATATTTATGGACATTAATAAGGTGCCCTTTTAGTCCTCTTTTCTCAAGACTGAACAGCCCCAGGCCTCTCAGCCTTTCCTCATATGACAGTTGTTCCAGTCCCTTCATCATCCGTGTAGCCTCAGTTGGACTCTTTCCAGCAGATCCCTGTCGCTCTGGAACTGGGGAGCCCAGAACTGGGCACAACACTCCAGATGTGGTCTTACGAGGGCAGAGTAGAGGGGGAGGAGAACCTCCCTTGTCCTGCTGGCCACACTGTTCTTAATGCATTGCAGGATACTATTGGATCTCTTGGCCAGAAGGGCACATTGCTGTCCCATGGATAACTTGTTGTCCACCAGGACCCCAAGGTCCTTCTCCATAGGGTTGCTTTCTACCAGGTCAACCCCTCATCTGTATCGATGCCTGGTGTTTTTTCTCCCCAGGTGCACTGCAAGACGGAGCAGCCATTCAAAAGCCAGGCACTCGCCATTCCAAAACCTTTCCCTCCCATAGACCTCAGGTGCAGCTGGCTCTAAGAGGGATTTGCCAGCAGCTGATTCCTGTGTCTGCCAGCAGTTACAGATAGAGTGGTGCTGGGCATCTCAGGGGAGAACAGCATCTGCTGCACATCTTCAAGCCCAGCAGAAATGTTTTAGAAAGCATGTCTTCCAGCAGCATTGATCCAGCATGATGTCCAGCCACTGCAGGAGCCAGGAGACCTTGCTGAGCAAGGATTTTATAATTATGATGATGATGATTATCATTATTATTATTATTGGAATTGTCAGGTTTAGATCAAACATTCCCAAGGCTGTTAACATTTGAGATATCTTTAAAGCTTTGCTGACCTTAAGCAAAACAGCTCTTGCAATACCTATCCAAAATCACCCAGAAAAACTCTTTTTAAAAGAGTTTTAAAAACAGGGTTGTTTTTTTTTGTTTGTTTGTTTTTTTCAAGGAGCGGGGCAGGGGGTGTAGAAGTTAGTCTTCTGAAACATGGGAAGGTGGAAAGAGTTTAGAACAATTACACATAATCTCCACGGTTTTCTGTTTCTTCTCGACACAAGATATATAAGGGGGGATTTCAGGCAGTTTTGGGACGAAGTCATGGTAAGATCTCATGCTTTATGGATTTAAATCTGAAGACAAGGAAGCTCCCAGGAATGCTAACAGGAGAGACAAATACTCACTAAAAGCAGAAGTTCCTCATGCCAGCAGCCTGTGAGCTTATTCTCCATCCCTCTCTTGCCTTGGCTGCCCCAAACCCAAACATCCTCATCTCTCACCAGCCTGCTCTCTGCTCTTGTACTCACTGTCCCAACCCCCAAACACACCCATCCAGCCTCTCACAGCCCCCGCATTTCTCCAGACATCCTTCATCCAAGCACTTTACTCTTGTCCTTCAAACACAGCCCCAAAAGAGTGATCACTGATGAAAGAAGGCAAACTCCTTCATGTCCGTTAAAATCCCCACCTACCAAGCATGTGGCTGCCTACTCATTTTGCCCCAGCTCTCTTCCCCGACCCATGGGCAGAGCCCCTTCCCCTCCATAGCTCTACCACACTGTTTCTGGGCAGGTTGCTTTGTTTCCATCCCCTCTGGGAACATGGTGCTCAACACAGCACAGATGCTCAAGCTGATCAAGCACCTGCATAGCATGGGAGATGTGCCAGACTGGACACTTCCTCAGCACAAGCACCAAGCCAGAAAGGGAGAGCTGATATTTGGGTGGCCAGGTCAGAGCGGCTGAACCTGACTAAGAAGGGCTGAAATGGCCCTGCACAAAAATGCAGTGAAAAGTTTCTTTAATTTTTCCAGGAGAGGTGCCACGAAGGACACGGACCAGGCATTTACCAGGCTCCCTTGTTAGGGCTGACTGAAATTACTCCACTGCAGAGGAAATGGAATGTGTTGGGATCACACATGCAGGGCACTTCCCACCTTGTCAGTCATCCAATCTAATGGTGAATGTGCTCAGCTGCACAAAGGCATTTTTATTCTTGACAAAGCTCTCTTGGAGCTGATGGTATCTTTTGGACTTTGCAAGGTTCTTAGAGGGAACTTCTGACCTCAAGTTGCTGAAGACTTAGGCCAGTAAGAGAAGGCAGGACTATGTACTTTAAAAGGGGTAAGAAATCGAGAAAGGAAGAGCAATGCTACCCTATGTCCTTGCAGGAAGCAATCACTCTCAGGGTTTGCAGCACTTCTACACTTTGTCTTCTACCTCCCCTTGCTGGAAAGTGCTTTTGCTTTCAGAAAAGTTTATGTGGGAAAACTCCTGGGAGAAGGACCTGGGGGTGGGAGGAGATGAGAAGCTGGACACGAGCTACAAGTGAGTGCTGGAGCCCAGAGGCCAATTGTGTCCTGGGTTGCAGCCAAAGAAGTGTGGCCAGCAGGGCCAGGGAGGAGATTCTGCCCTGCTCTGGTGAGCCCTCACCTGGAGTGCTGGGAACAGCTCTGAAGCCCTCAGCACAGAAGAGACATGGAGGCCATGAAGATGATCAAAGGGCTGGAGCAGCTCTGTTCTGGAGACAGGCTGAGGGAGCCACAAAGATGATTAAGGGAATGGAACATCTCCCTTATGAGGAAAGGCTGAAGGAGCTGGGTCTCTTTAGCTTGGAGAAAAGGAGACTGAGGGGTGACCTCATCCATGTTTACAAATATGTAAAGGGTGAGTGTCAGGACAATGGAGCCAAGTTTTTTTCAGTGATGACCAGTAATAGGACAAGGGGCAATGGATGCAAACTGGAGCATATGAGGTTCCATGTGAATATCAGGAAGAACTTATTTCCTGTGAGAGTGACAGAGCACTGGAACAGGCTGCCCAGAGAGGTTGTGGAGTCTCCTTCTCTGGAGACATTCAAACCCCCCTGGACATGTTCCTGTGTGATGTGCTCTGGGTGATCCTGCTCTGGCAGGGGGGTTGGACTTGGTGATCTTCAGAGGTCCCTTCCAACCCCTAGGATTCTGTGATGTTGTGATTCTGTGTGATTCAGCCTGGAGAAGATAAGGCTCTGGGGAGACCTTAGAGCACCTTCCAGTGCCTGAAGGGGCTCCAGGAAAGCTGGAGAGGGGCTTTTCACCAGAAAGGGCAGTGATAGGACAAGGGGGAATGGTTTTAAACTGAAAGAGGAGACATTTAGGTTAGACATCAGGAATAAATTCTTCACCATGAGGGTGAGAAGGCACTGGAATAGGTTGCCCAGGGAGGCTGCTAATGCTCCCTCCATGGAGGTGTTCAAGGTCTGATTGGATGAGGCTTGTGCAGCCTGGTCTGGTGGGAGGTGTCCCTGCTCATAGGAGGGAGGTTGGAACTTGATGATCTTTAAGATTCCTTCCAACCTTCACCATTCTATAATTCTATGATTCTATGATTCTTTTAATGAATCACTGAGGGGCATGGCCTGGAGAATCTACCCAGCAGCCGACTTCTGCCCTAGAAGCAGGAAGTGATCTGCTGAAATTAAGTACCAATCAAATCAATGTATCAGTTGTACCCCTGCAAGTTCAGAAAGTCAAACCTGTAAAACAAGGGAATCCATATGAGAAGAGCCAAGAATTCAAAGCCAGCAGCTCTCAGAATGGCTCAGCCTATTTCCTGGTGCATAGCTTATTTACAGCACATTTCTAATGGCAAACTAGACTTCCTAAATCTTAGGAAAGTCTTGGTCCTTGTGACTAAGAGGTTCACTGGAGATACCCTCCTCCATCCAAAACTTAGAAACTTGCTTCATGTCTCCCACTGAGCAACCTGTTGGAATGAATCACATGTGCAACATCAGGAAGGATCACAGAGTTGTAAGCAAGCTCAGACGATGGAAAACAGAACAAAAAGAGAACAAAGAACAAAAGCTCATCAGCAAAGAAGCCACTTGCCTTTACACCAATGCACTCCTATGCCACATTATCACAATGCCCTCTTCTCAACTCCCTCCTTCTTTTATTGGTCTAACTCCTTTCTGCGCAAGGTTAGGTTTTACCTCATTGCGCAGAAACTGGCTTTTATTTCAGATGTTTACAGAAATTTAGCACTGATGCAAATGCAGCTGCATTCTGACCATTTACTGCCAGCAAAGAGCCAGAGTTGGCTTCAGTATGATAGCCTTAGTGTTCTAAACAGCACACTCCTGAGTTAAGGAGTCTGGGATTAGCAGCTATTAGGACAATCAAATGTAGCTGGCCCAAGCAATAACCAGCATATCCCATTTTAAGGACTTTAATTTGCCTTGTTTGGAGATGTTTGGTTATGTCTTTGCCTCTTTACAATCTCAAGTACTTCACCCTTCTTCCCCTCACTTAAATGAAAGCTGAAATCACATGCAATTGCTGCATCTTTGCAGTCTGATAACAGTGGACTTGTTAACATGTTGCCTTGTTATCACTTGCTCTAGAGTTTAGTACAAATCCAGCAAGTGAGGCAGGACTAGGTTAATCACTGAAGACACTGTTACCTGTCACTATGCAGGTGAATTTAGCATCAGAGTCCTCGGACACAGAATGGGATTTGATAGTGGTTTCAAACAGTGGCTGGGTTTCCTCCGTCAGCTGAGAAATGATTGCGCAGAAGGTGCTCCTGGAAGATTCAAGAAGCATTTCTTAGAGATCAAAATACTGGGGAAAAAAAAAGGTCCCCTTCCTACTCAGAAGCCTGTGTTCCTCCTGTAAATGCCCTCATTCCCTCCCATCTTCCACTACTACTAGTCTAATCCAGCTCAGAGCCAGGGTATTTGACTGTTTTTTTCACTCCCAAGATGACACTTTCTAAATTGAAAGTGTCATTTGGGAGATGTTCCCTTTGTCTTAACCCTGATCGCTATTGGGCCAACAAACGTCAAGAAACATTTTAGATCTTGATTACAACAGAACATGTCTTTGATCAGTCAACAGACTCAAAGCAAGGCCCTAACAAAGGCAGCTTCACATTCCTGGTACTGCACCATCAGTGTTTCAAGAGTTTTTCTGTTCACCAGGATTTTAGTCCATCTGTGAAGAATTCGCATTGTAATTTCAGGCCAAGCGTGAACTGAACATGTATCCTAATCACAAACTCCCTTTGAAAGCTTTGAATCAAGAAAGCTGTCTGCTGCAGCTCACTGAATGAGACCTTGAGCATAGCTTGCAGCTTTCTGAGCTTAGGAATCCTATGTGAAGCTGCCCCCCATGCTCTGTTTCACCTCCCACTGCTGCAGATGGGCATCTACCCTACATACTGTGAGTTCAGGCACCAACCCCAAAGTTCAGGCTGGGACACCCAAACAGACAGAACTACCCAAGTAGCCATTGCAATCTATGGAGCTCATAAAAAGGGACTTTAGATTCGCCAGTCATGTAAGCACTACTCCAGGACATGAGTGTATTCATACAGCACTGCCAATCCTGTTGAAACATCACCAAGTGGAGGCCCAGAAGATCTAGGCTTTCTTAAATCAAAGAAAAGGATTCATTCCAAGTTGGGTCTTCATTTGGATAGTGCTCTGGGGCTCCTGGAGGAGCCTTCATTTTTCCCTCTGCAATTTTTCCCTCTCCTCTCCCAGGAGAGAGGACCCCAAGGTCTCAAGTGCAAGGAGACATAACAAATACTACAAAAGAATTGGTAGCTGGCAGCTCTACTTAGATAATTTTTCAGCAGTGAAAGACATTTCTCAAACAAGTGATCAGCTTCTAGAGACATGCAAGAGGTGGAACAAACCCTCACACCATTCCTGACACAGCTCCACCACGAGCAGAAGGTCTTACAGCACATAGAGGGGGCTCCTCAAGGAGGACCTCAGCCTCACAAGCAGCCCCTGGCTTGCAGGCAGGATGCTGGTGCTGCTGCTACTCATGCTCTACCTGCTGGGGAAGCAGACTTTCTCAGGAAAAACAAAAAAACCCCCACATTTAGCATGAACTCAGCTAGGTCAAGTGCACTGACAGGCTTTGCAGCACGGACTGAAGTGTCCACATGGCTGAAGGTTTCATTTACCCTGAAAACTCACCTGGAGGCTGCAGTGCTATGTTTTTCACTCTGGCTTCCTGCTAGAATGGGTTTGTAAAAGATGCAGGGAGATGAATCCCTCAGCAAAAACCCAACTGGGATGCAGTGGGAGCCTCAAACAGCTCCCAGGCACTGTGCAGGGACAGTGACAGCTCGGACTGCTGCACACTTGTCTCATCTACCGAATGAGGGTTGTAAACACTGTCTATATCCAAACACTGTCTATATCCAAACACCCATCTATATGGGATGGGGTAAAAAACAGATGTCACAGCTCAGACTCTTTTCTGTGGAAATCGGTGGATCCCAGGAGACTGGTCCTGCCAATCCACTCTTCACACAGGTACAGGGCTAGGAAAGGGCTGTGGGAGCCAACAGCTGTTTGAAACCACAGAAACCATTCCATACTCCAACCCCAGAAGAAAACTCTCAATTCCAAAGAGGAAATCCAGTACCAAGGCAGTTACTGGTGAAGTTTTGATGGCCCCTTCAAAACAGATCCCCAGCTCTAGACCAGTAAATGCCTTTTAGATCCACATAAGGAACTTCTCAAGCACCAATGAACATTTCATACCCCAGCAGGACAGCAACTGGATCAGCATCTTTAAAAGAAGTGATGTGCACACACAAAGTGACACTCGGAACCAAGTTTAATCCCAGTACCATGCCACTGTACCAGCAGGTATCAGCAGGCAGCACCAGGAATAAGCCTGGTCCACACGGTGCAAATCCCACAGTCAGGTGAAATACAGCAAAGGCTACTGAATGGTTCAGGAAAGCAGCATCACGAGAAGCTGGGGGCTCCACAGGCACAGCAGATGAATCAGAGGAGACTTGCCCAATGTACACTTGGCAGGAAGACTTGGAAAGTCCATTTAATCTTTCAAATAAACCATTTTATTAGGTGGGAGGGGGAGGGAGAG